AGTTAAAAGGAGGTGGGGTTTAGAGGGTAAAACCACAAAAGAATCTGATATTGGGGTGACCCCAAAAGACACGCACCGGAGGAGCTGGTGGGCGGGGGGGGACCACCAAGGTTGGAGGTTTCTTAGTTACTCGAGAATAAGGAACACGGGAAAGATTTGCCTGAAGGCAGAGCTGGGAGACAGCCATAGCCTAAAGCCTTTGCTCTCCTTAGGGCAACCGATTTCACATTCATTAGGATAGACCTGACATTGGCAGGAAAAAGTAGGAAGAGTTTCATTGCAATTAAGACAAGTGGGGGGGGGAAGATTGCAAGACGTATCAGCATGATCCACAGCACTGCAGACTGGGCACTCCACCGCAGACCTGCAGTATTTAGCTGGATGTTCAAAGCACCAACAATTTTGACACTATTGGGGTGTAGGAACCACTTTACAGACCTCAAGGCAGTGTTCTGCAATATAAATGGAGAACAAGAGTTCACGACAGTCAAAGGTTAAACAGGCAATGTTACTGGGAAAGTGCCTCTGCCCGCGAGTGGACAAGACATATGTATCCACTTTGAGAATGGGAAGGTCCTGAAGGGCTAATTGCTCTAAAATATCGTCACCACAAGACAGAAAAATCACACTGTACAATGGTACACGGTAAAACCACTGAACCACTGCAAGAATTTAGAGTAGCGTGATTGTGAACTGTGATAGGGATGTTATCAATGGAAGATGGGAAAGATCATGAACTTGGTTTGCATTCTGAACAGCAACGATACGCGCACCGCTCTGTAGAGCGTGAAAGGATATATTTTGACCAATGTGTCATAAAAGAGCTTTACCGATACTGTGGTCTGATAGATAATCAGTTGGAGACGTCGATGTTAATGAAAAGAATTTGGTCCGCTATGTACTTTTAAACATGGTACATAAAGGAAATGGGTGTTGTGTTCACCTGGAGTTTACCTGGAGAGTTCTGGGGGTCAACACCCCCGTGGCCCAGTCTGTGACCAGGCCTCATGGTGGATCAGAGCCTGATCAACCAGGCTGTTACTGTTGGCTGTATGCAATCCAATTTATGAGCCACAGCCCGGCTGGTCAGGTACCGACTTTAGGTGCTTGTCCAGTGCCTGCTTGAAGACAGCCAGGGGTCTATTGGCGATCCCCCTTATGTATGCTGGGAGGCAGTTGAACAGTCTCGGGCCCCCGACATTTATTGTATTGCCTTTTAAAAGTGCTAGAAACACCCCTGTTTTTTCATGGGGGGAGTTGCATCGCTGCCGAGTCTTTTGCTTTTGTTGATGATTTTCGTGTGCAAGTTTGGTACTAGTCCCTCTGGTTTTTCCCCCAAGTTTTAATATCATGTATCTCCCGACTGCATTCCAGGGGTTACGGGTTCGGGAACTTAAAGCCCCCCCAGTAATTGGGGTGTTTTATCCCCTTTTATGCCCCCCGGAAAGGGTTCTCGGGTACATTTTCTAGGTCAGCAATTTCACCCCTTGAAAAGTTTTGTTGTGTGAGCAATATTCCAGCCAGATAGCCAAGCGACCTAAAGAGTCCATCATGGGCGGGGCTCCCTAGTTTTGAAGGTTCTCATTACCCAACCCTGTCATTTTTTAGCAGATGCGATTGATACAATGTTAGGGCCTTAAAGGTATTTCGGGGTTTGGAAATGTGCAAAATAAAAGGACCACATCAGCAAAGTGTCTAAAAATTTTTAGGTGTGTCCGTGGGATTTGACCTAGGCGGTGGGCGATCCAAAAACTGTTCCCACCGTATATGGGGGCTGGTTGCATTGTTAAAGATTGCAAGGGGCAGAAGCACTCAAGAAATGGGGGGCCCTTACCCCGGAGCAGGGAAAAGTGTCCCGCAGAAGGTACAGGGAGGGGAAAAGTCTGGAGAATGGCCAAAATAACCCCAGGTCAGAACAGGATGCAGTAATAAAAAATGGCCGGGAAAAGGGGGAGGGGGGTATGGAATAAGATAGATGGTGGTACTTCTTTCTTTTTTTTAAGAAAAAAAGGAGGGAAAGAAAAAAAAAAGAAGGGACAGCAAGGACAGTTACAAAAAGGCAGGGAAAGGGGCTGCAAGTTCCCCCTTCATCCAAGGGACCTCAAAAACTGCCAGTAGTGCGTTTGCAGCGTGGAACTGTCCCATACTCTACCTTTCATCCCATCAACCACGTCCTGGATAGCAACCTTCATCTACTAGTCCCCTCAGCAGTCAAAAGGGGGGGGGGGTCAGACACCCCCCACAAAGGGGCATACCCCCCTCAGCTGCCACCCCCCCAGAACTGAAGGAAAACCTCTGGAATACATCTGCCTGCAAATCCCCTCCCCTACCCCCGGAAATCCAGGAAGGGAGCGGGGCACCTCCGAGATCCAGTTCCACGGAAAACTACCTACTGCAGAGGGACCCCATGGAGTGGGATGAACCCCGACACTTCCCCCTCCCTGAAACCGAAATGACGGGAGAGGACCCCAAAAGCTAAAACAAGAAAAGGAAAAAGGGGATTGGGAGGGGGAAGGGGAAAAAAGGGAGACGGGTAGGGAAGGAGGGATTGGGGGGTAATTAGGTTCATTTGGGAAAAGGACCCCAAAAGGGTTTAAATTTCCCTCAGACCAAGACCCCTTCACTGAGCCGAGGAGCCCACTTTAAGAGGGGTACCAT